CCGCCGCGCGGAGGGAGAGCGCGGCGTTCGCCGCGGCCCGGCGTGGCGGCGAGGTGCCCGACACCAGTCGCGCCCCCACACCCGCTCCTCCGCCCCTCACTCCTTTCACCAACCCCACCCCCCACATCGCAAACCCTGTCCCTTTTCAAAGGGAGTCCCCCGAGAAGACCAGGGATCTGGAGGAGAAGGAGCTGCGCAACGGCCGCCTGGCCATGGTGGCCTTCGCCGGCTTCCTGGCGCAGCACGCGGCCACCGGCAAGGGGCCGATCGACAACCTGTTGGACCACGTGGCCTCCCCCCTCACCACCACCATCTGGGACAACGGCGTCAGGTGAGGTTTGGGGGGGTGGGGTGTGTGTGTTAGATTGTGCGTTCGCGCGTTTGTGTGTGTGTGTGTGTGTGTGTGTGTGTGTGTGTGTGTGCGCGCGCGGGGGGACGTTGGTGCTAGGTGGCAATGAGGTACAGAGGGGGGTGCCACGCGCGGGGTAAGGGTTTATGGGTTTGTGGGCTGAAGTGTGTCTCGATGCGCCGCCAGCGAGGCGGCGAGCGCACGCGCGCGCGCGTTATGTTGCACCGGCCTCCTGGAAGCGAACCGCTCACACCACGACCCGCCTCCTCCCCGCCGCCCCTGCCCTTTCCCTTCGCGCCGCAGCATCCCTCTCCTGGTGTAAGATGTCCCTTCCACGGCCCGGCCCCCCATAACCACTCTCCCTGTTTCCCCGGCGCCCTGCGCCCTGCCCTGTGGCGCGGCCGGCCCCCGCAGCTGGCCCCTTCGCTCGCGCGTCGGCGGGCGGCCGCACGTGCGTGCGCCCTTTTTCTCGTTTCGCAGCCAAAGCGTAGCGCCCGTTAACTCGTGCCGCGTGTGAGCAGATCGTGTACACCTGAGCGTCTCGGGTAACAGCCCGCCCCAGTCTGTTCCCACGCACGCACGCTGCTGGGGTGTGAGGCTCCTTGATCATATATTCAATGGACGAACAGCAGCGGCTGACGAGTGGGACGCACCCAGGCGCCGTCCCAGGGCCTCGGTCAGCCAACTAGCTGCAAACGCGCCCGCCGTCGTCAGAGGGGGCCGCAGCACCACGGATCCTTTGATGCAGTCGCGCCTCCGCAGTTTAAAAGCAGGTGCCAGCTGTCACGGGGGCCTCCACCACGCTCGGCCGGACGGAGGGCCGGCCGCGGGGCGGGGGCGGGCCTGAGTACCGTCCCGCCTGTCTCAGGGCCATCCACTGCTCATGGGTCTGGGTTTTGTACTGCATGTGTGGGCTGGGCTGGCGGGGATGCGGCGCACCGCAGCAAGGATGCGGCGCACCGCAGCAAGGATGCTGCGCGCACCACCCCCGCAGGTTCAGCTCGTGGGTGCGCGCACCAAACAAAGAAAGACGGCCCGCAGCTGCTTGAGGCGGGGCTCTACGCATCTGTCGACCGGCGCGGTGGTTACACGGCGGGCAGAGGGACGTTGGCGCGAGGCAGGCGCACCCGCTGGGAGGACACGGGTCAAAAGGGTTGCTGAGCACTCCAGATGGAAAGGCAACACAGCCAGACAGGCGGAGATGAGAGTGTCGCCCGAAGCGTCGCAGCCGCGCATGCGTCGCACAAAGGCACGCGGATACTTCACGTGGCCGAAGCAGTGGACCGGAAAAGAGGCGGGGGCTCTCAGAGGCTCTCAAGAATCATGATAGTTGGCAACAGCATGCGACAAAACAACAAATATCTACACACACATAACATTTACCTGCGGACGCCCCCCAAACGGGCGGCCCCCACCCCTGGAGGCAGCCCACAAAGCGAGCCGCCGCGGCGTACCGCAGGCGTAGACACGTGCGCGGCGGAGGTTGCTGATGTTGTCACCACCCCTCATCAAAATCAGTCATCCAGCATGGGGACCGGCGGCAGGTTCCGCACATCTTCCTGCACGTGCTTCCCAACAGCCGCCGCCGCCGCCTCCTCCTGCCGCTGCCGCTCCGCGCGCCGCTGCTCGCGCGGCGCCGAGTGGTCCAGCTCCCGCAGCACCTCGGGCGTCACCTGGTAGTGCTGCTGCGCCGCGCACAGGCGCCGCAGCGCGTCGCGATCCGCGGCGCGGACCTCGGACTTGTAGCGCTGCACGAAGCAGAGCAGCGTCTGGTGCCACACGACGGGCATGGCGCGCTCGTCGTCAGCAAAACGCGTGAAGTGCTCCGCCATGGCATCGACCACCCTTGAGGATGAGTTTTTTGTGTTTGGGAGGCGAGGGATTGGGGAAGCGTGAGGGGAGGGGGCGGGACGAAGGCGGGTCGGGGAGCGGGGGTGGGGACCCCCAGCGGCGCTGCTTGCATGCAGGCAGGCACGGAGGAGCCCGGGTGTGGCGACGCGCGCCGTCCGAAATCCCCCCGCACAACCCCCCCCCATACCTGTGGGGCAACGCGTACTTCTTATCCAGCAGTACGCGTATGAAGAAGCTCGTAGTGCCGCAGTACTCCATCTGGGCCAGCCGCAGCAGCGCGGCGGCGCTGTGCAGCACGGGCAGGCTGCTGCGGCGCAGGACAGACGTGAAAATGACGGCCTCGCGGAGGGTGCAGCTGCGGGAGGCGCAGAGCGGCAGCAGCAGGCCCTATTGGGGGGGGAGAGGGGGCGGGGGA